TTTCTATCCTTATACACTTTCAGAAACTTATTAAAAAGCTATCAGAGCCATGATTTTAGTAGTGCTTTATTGAAGTATAGATTGACAAAAATTCTTTATCCTGAGTGTGTTTTGAATTAGAATGTGTCTGAAGTCTAATATAAATATTTTGGTGCTACAAAATGATAAAATGATGTTTGGTCAGTAATTAGTTTCCTCATTTGTAACAAGAATAAAGCAAAGTTCACAAGGAAAACTATAAGGAATGACAAAAGTCGATATAACAGTACTGCACAGTGAAAATAAATGATAGTTATGATTATTACTAAGATAGAAATTTAAGAATGAATGTAAGCCGGACACGGTGGTGCCTGCCTGTAATCCCAGGGGCTTGGGAGACTGAGGCAGGAGCATCACGAGTTCAAAGCCAGTCTCAGCAACTTAGTGAGGCCCTAAGCAACTCAGTGAGACCCTGTCTCTAAATAATTTTTTTTTCTTTTTAAAAAGGGATGGGGGCATACATGGCTTAGTGGAAGATACCAGAATTTACCATTCAGGAGTCTATTTATCTTCTTGAAATGTGTACCAGCAGAGTTAAGTCCCTTGATTTTTTTCCAATACTGAATCTAAATACATTCTAAAACTACATTAAGGAAGGTGAAGTGAATGCAGTATTTTTTTAACCTCTAATACTTTTCAATTACATATGAAAGCTACAAAAGATACTGAGATAGGATGTTTTTGGTTTTGAAACTCTCATATATTTCAGAAACTTCCAACTTTCTTAACTAGAGCTATAGAAGCAAGATTAAATAACTGTTTTAGAATTAAAACTGGGAGGTTTCTCACAAAGATCTTGAAATAATATATCTAGCATATGCTAAAATTCTAAAACTAATAAAAAGTAGATATTAATCACTGGATAATAATGAAATCATATGGTTAGGTTTGCTTGAAATTTGGTAGAAATGTCTAAAAACTCAGAATGATATTGTACAATGATTTCCTAATAAGCTTGAAAGATATCCAGTTATATGAGATGTAGATAGAAAAAAGTATTTGGGGAAAAAAATAAGTCTGGAGAATTTGATTTTTTTTTCTAATTTTGGTAAGGAGAGGTAAATTAATGAAGTGTTGGATATCTTCAAAAAAATAATTATACTTAGCAATAAAAATCCAGCAATGGTTGTCACATACACTATTTTCATTGTGTTAAATGAATGAACTATAAACAGAATAGAAATCCGTAGAATACAGAATTAAGTGAAAAAAAATTTATCTTTTCTATATTAATAAAATACAGCAATATCCTTCTTAAGCATGCATTATTCTACCTAACAGTATTCATTTAGTTAATATAAAATTCTTTAGGTAAACCAAAGTAAATATATGACCAATACACTTGTGGAATACAATTAAGAAATCTCTTTACATTAAATTGCAGGGACCATTCTTGTTTTTTCACATGCCTAGCACAGTGCCTGACAGACAGCAGATGCTCCATAGATGTTTAATGAATAGCTAAGTACAATCTGTTTTGCACATACATTCAAAATCCAGACAAGTTTGCAAAGGTACATATGTTGGACATAGGCTTTCTGGCTGACTTCATGGGGTCCCATTGAAGACTAGGAGTAAATCTTCATATCCATAGAAAACTGGCAAGTTGATAATTGTCTGGGTAAGGACCAAAAAAACAAAGTCAGGGAAACATGTCACCTAAGTAACAGTTGCTTTATAGAGCTGGTAAAAGCGGCCTAATAATTCCGTCAACCTATTTGCACCATTCACTCAATGAAGTGAAGTTTAAATGCATCTTGAACATTTACATTTTTATGTAAAATTTTTTTATCATTGCTTATTCAAAAATCAATCACGTTTGTTAAATTCCATTCTGTGTAATGATTAGAAGTGAATAGGATTTTAGTTACTATTAGGAGTACTACATCATCATTGGGTGTTTAATTTGGCTGTTGATTTTAAAAAGTGAGAACCGCAGCAGAGATTTAAAAAAAAAAAAAAAAATTCTCAAGAAAAAAGTTTTCATGGTAGTGAAAATTAGAGGGAGAAAGAGAAAAGGGAGGAAGGAAAAGGGAATCTCACAGTTGGAAGTAAAGAAATTCAACTTTGTCTAATTCTAAACCTAATAAAAGATTTATAACAAACAAGCAGTAAGTACACCAGGCATTGTGCAGAAAGTAAGGGACTAAGTTTAAATAACACAAAAATATTTTTATTTAAGTAGTTCTTTAAGGTAAGACTACCATGTAAACATTTACAATACGCTGTGAATTTTATTTATTTTTATAAATATGAGTCTTTAATATAAGAGTAGTAAATATGTTTCCTAATTGGAAGTTTAAGAAAAAACAGCACTAGAGAAAGCCAATATAATTCTCAAAAATATTAACAATCCACAACAAGTGAAGTTAGTATTTCTCAAAAAGATCAACAACAAAGAATTAATTATAATAGGACAAAGTTTTAACACTATTTACTTTACTATTCTCATAAAATGTAAAACTCTTAAGTGCTGTATGTGGTCTTGTACATGACAGTTTCATTTCTGACAAAGAACAATGAGTAGTTAGTACAGTAAGTGTTAAAGTTCTCTGTTCCCTGTACTGTGTCCACTCAAGGCATTAGAACCTTGGGCAAGTTCCTCAAGCTCTCTCAACTTCAGAGGTATGGAAAATGAAGCTGGATAAAATGACCTCCAAGATATTTCTAGTTGAAACCTTACCATCCTAAAATATCAATAATTCTTAACACTTAAAAAATAAACCACAATAAAAGATTTCTAAGCATAAATCATTATCAAAAGTAGAGAAAATCTGAAGTCTTCCAACCTTAAAGGGTTAACCTGGCAGTGATAAAATAAGAAATACTTTCAAAGGAAACAGAAACAAAGTAAAGGTATTAATCAAGGACTGTCAATTTTTACTCAGCTGCCCACTGTGTGATGACTACCCCAATTACCTACACAATTCACTTTATTAAAATTGATTTCTTCTCTATGTTCTACTGTCTGTCTCCTATGTTAAGGTTGCTGAGGTTTTAAGGTAAGGACAAAAAAATCTCAGGTGGACCTGGAATAGCAGTATAGATGTGTGGAGGAAAAACTTGAACTTGACACAAATTTCTGCTTCAGTGCATCAATGACACCTCAGAGAAAGGCTAGGAAACTATTCAAATGTATAATAGCAATGAGAGAAATAAGACCATATTGCTTACTGCTACACAGCTCTTTTTTCTTTTTATTATTTTTTTGTTATTGTTATGTATAAACGTCTATTTTTGCACCCAGTTGGTAATTACAATTTTATAGAACAAGTTTCTACATATGTAATGCTTTTCAGTCACTAAAATACAAGTATATTATGTCTTGGCTTTACCAGCCAGAAAATAAGAAAGTATCATAATGTCTTCATAATATTTATGGCAAATATCCTTCTAGGTTGATATTTCTTCAATCCTTTCTAGTTGATCAAATTGCTGTTTTCATATTGCCAGTTCACAAAATTGCTGCTTTACAGAAGAATATTTTTTGTTGACATAAATTATGGCAGAGATACCAATGCAGATAAAAAAAAAAGGGGGGGGGGGTGTATGTGTATGTGTGTCAGGGAGAGAATGAGAAAGAGAGAAAAAGGGAAAGAGAAAGGGAATGTATGTGTGTATCCTTCTTCAAGGAAAGGATAAAGAATGTATATAAAACAAAATACCACTACTAATGTAAGACGTAGTGTAAGGCCTACATCAGAAACATACTTTCTAGCATTTGTGAAATAAAGCACTGAATGAAAGCTATTCACTATGAGCATACCATGTGAAAATGGAGAATAATGATTTTTATCAAGATTGTTGCTCTATAAATCTAAACCTGGATTTACCTTTCAGTTTATATCTAACTATAATATACTAACTACAACTTTCTTTTCTTTGATCCATGAAAACATATTTTAGACATTTATTTTCTTTCACATATAGTGAACAATTTGTTTCAGTACCCCAAGAGATGAAAAACTCATCTCAATTTACAACAGTAAATAAATAATTCAGTTAAAACTGAAAGTGGTACCAATCGGGCAAACTATTGATGGAGAGGTTTGGCCTTCCATGTAGCCAGAACAACATAAAGTTTTCAATAGGGATTACTTGTTCAGACAAGTTACAAGGATTAGAAAAATACTCAGTTAATTGTGAAATAGCTAATATTCTCATCCTATATGGAAAATAAATTCCAGAAACATATGTGGGTAAGACAATACCAGTGGCATGTAAACTTTAAGCATTTTAAGCTCTGCACTTTATAAACTCATATATGAAACAAACATTTAACAACAAAAAAAAAGCAATAATGCAAGTCAAAATCTAACCAAAGGCCTCTAAACTAAAAATTTGAAAATTTCTATTCAACTCAGATCAAACGAGAAATGGAGAAAATAAACCCATAACGCAAAAACCAGTCAAGTCTTCCAACCCAAAAGTCAATATCCAAATCACATACAGGACCAAAAAGGGGAAAACACTCAGGTCTACAAATGGATATGCAGTTCCAATACAATCCAGATCCCGACATTTTCCCACTCAGAAACAAATGCAGTAGAGCTTTTCCTGGGCAAAGAGAAAAAGCTCTCCAAATGAAATTTTTTTTAAGTGACATCTAGAAAGTGTGCCTCTTTCTGTCTCTTTCCCTGGCGCCTCATTGGAGGAAGGAGGGGGGGTTGTTTTTGTATTCTCCCCCACTAGAGCAAGGCACAATCAGATGTTAGCTGAAGAAGAGAAACCACTTTTGACAACAGCAAATAAAAAATAAAAGTGCCCTTCCTCCCCTGACAGGATGGGCACCCCACCTCACACATCCCTCCTCACTCCGACCCCTCCTTCTCTCACCCCCCCTGAGCACCACCCCCTCCTCACCCAGGAGCTCCACTGCGTATGTGGTTTGGTGCTACTGTTGCCCCGGAGTGAAAGTCAGAGCCAGAGGAAGGCAATGAATCCCCCACAAACACACTTACCTTTCCTGCCCCCCACTTTTGAGTGCCTTCCCTGGAGCTGTGGAGGATGACACAAAGGGTAATAAAGGGGGGGGGGAGTGGAGGAGGAGGAGGCGAAGGAGGAGGAGGAGAGCTGGGGAAGTGGCTGCTCCTGGGTGTAGTGAGATGTCTCCAGCCAGGGCCAAGCAGCAGTAGCAGCAGTAGCAACAGCAGCAGCCACAGCAGCAGCAGCAGCAACAGCAAAGGGTCTGTGTTGCTAAGAGGCTTTTGGTCTCTTTCTCTCCTCCTCTCACGGCCAAAGAGAAGGAGGGTGGAGGGGGCTCGGGAGGGAAGCGAGTGGAGGGGTGAGGGGGTAGGAGTCGTGGATGGAGGTTTTCGAAGAGGAAGAAACTCCTTCTCCTTCTCTCTCAGGCTCAATCCCCCTCTCAGGGCTCCGGGCTGGAGGGTGGGGGAAGGAACTCAGCCGCCTTCCCCCCACCCCCCTCAATTCAAGGTTGAAGTGGGGTAAAATTAGTGTCCTGTCCCTTTAAAAATAGAAATAAAAGGTGCCCCCCCTCTGCCACTGCCTCTCTCTTCATCATCAGCTGCTGCTGCTGCTGGGGTCTCTCTGCTTGGGGGGGGGAGGGGGGGTTCGGGTAGAAGAGACGGGAGGCACTCACTGCGCATGCCCCTCTCTGACGGGAGGCTGGTTGGTTGAAGGGAGGAGGAGGGGGAGGGGAGGAAATGAGATGTTTTCCCAGAAGGCTCCGAGGCACGCGCGACCCGGAAGACATTGTAGCGGGGGGTAGAGGGGCGGGGGCGGGGAGTAGGAGGAAGTCGGTACTCTTTAACATTCCCATCTCCCTCCTCCCTCCGAAGGGACAGTGGAGGAACGGAAGTGGGCGTGGACGGAGGCGAAAGGAGGTCACGTATTTGAGTGGGAGGCGGGTCCAGGAGCGAGAGGCGATACGTGCGCAGGGCATGCTGGTAGTGGTTGGTTGTGTACGGCTGGCAGCAGCAGGTGAAACCAAGGCGAGGTGGCGGCGGGACGAGCTTGGGAAACGAATTCAATAGTCGCTGGATTCCGGCATTGCGCTGATAAAACCAAGCTAGCAGCGAGAGGTAATGTCTATTAGACTGGCCTCACAATGAAGGTCAGGCACGCCAGCGGCCAAAGAAGAATCGAAAGTGGTAGGGTGGAAAGCTGCCGCGAATATTGGGAAGGGGCAGGCTTTTCTAGGCCGGGCAGGCCAGAGCAAAGCGGGATCTGTCTTGTCTCCTGGCCTCCCCATGAGCCTGTGGACGCATCCTGACTAATGCAGGGAGTGATGAGGATACTGCCTCTGCAGGGGATTGTAGGTGAGGTGCATCGTGGGTTGGATGTTGAGAGAGCAGTGAGATATGTGGGACCTTGGCTGCGAACTCTTAAATAAGACTTTTTCCTCAGAGCTGGCGACCTATTTGGGGAATTAGAAGCCACGTGTGGGAATTTTGACCAGCTGCATCGGTAGCATTACTTATGTTGGATGTTGTGCCCTTCGCACCTTGCCTTGCAACCTTCTCTGGAATTTTGGAGTGGCTTTGACACAGGATCAGGCAGGGAATACTTGAGTGGAATTTCCCTCCATATTTAGCGTTGTTGCTTCCTCCCTTTGTGCCTGTTCTTAAGAGAGTTATGTGTGGGATTGTGTGTTCCTAGATGTTGAGTTTTATAACTGGTAAAGAGAGAAGGGATATCATTAAAATTTTCCCTTCCAGTGTAGATGGGAAATTTTTCAAATAGGTGCCTCGTCTTTTCTAGAGAAACAGCGATGTCTTTGTGTGTGTGTGTGTGTATTTCAAACAATCTTTATTGAAAACATTTTCATTTTCCAGCTATAATTTTTCGTAAAGATATTTTGAAGGATCATTATTTAGGTATTCCTTTTTTAAACAGAAAATAAACCTCATGTTTAATGTGTTAATGTTATTTATTCTATGGTATGGATTCTTTTACCTATCATTTAAACTTACTGTTTTTCTATGGTATACTTCCCAAAAGTTTTGGCAGTGGACACTATTTATCCATCATGCCTAGTGCTTATTACTCTCTCTGTGTTCAGTAATTATGTCAGATGGGATCAAAACTAAGATGTTCCTTTACTGGAAAACCTAATTGTTTACCACGTTGTAATAGAAAGATTATATAGCAAGATAATTAATGTGCCTTTTTTTTTGTAGAAACTAAATCTTTGGAAAAGAAATCATATGTAGTATAATGAATAATAAAGTAAACTCTAACCACTCCCCAGTTTCAGAACTGGAACATCTTTGGAGCTGAAAGTACCCCAGTGCACACAGTCATGACCATTCCCCCACGTCACTGATTTTTTTTTTGTTTTGTTTTTATTTTTGTTTTTGAGCCATTTAAACCTCTTTATTAGTTTACTTAGCTCAGGTATTTTTTTATACCATCAGAAACAGACTACAACAGAGGCTGGAAGAGTTTTCAGGGACAGCTGAGAAATATGGACGTTAAAAATGATTCTAGTGATCTCAGACAGAAATGAAGAACATAATGCTAGAAACTAGAGGAAATGTGACCCTTGGCATACAGTGGCAAAGGACTTGGTTGAATTGTATTTGTGTTCTAGCATTTGTGGTTGAAAAAACTTGCAAGGGATGAAATTGGATAGTTAGCTGGGATTACTATGCAAAGTATTGAAAGGGCACCTTGCTTCCTCCTGATAACTTAGGGTAAAATGCAAAAAGAGAATGAAGTAAAAAAAGAAGTCCAAGTCCTTGATTTTAACATCCTGATTTTTATGGTAATTACCTACTGGTTTTAATATGTTTAAACTACCTGTGTCAGCATTCCTAAACACTGTAGATTAGCTTGTAAAGGAATTGCATATTATATATCTTCTATTATTGATTTTTTGTTCATGTTGCTAAGATTTGACCCTGATAGTATGCTTAGCAGTAGTTCATATATTTTCACTGTGGTATAGTTATATTATAGTATATTTTTAAAAATAAGCCACAAATAATTTAATTGTTCTAACATTAAAGGACATTTGGATTGTGCTCAGTTGTTAGTAATCATGAGCAATGTCACAATGTGTATTCATATACATGTATTCTTATACACATAACCCTGTATTTTTGTAGATTATTTATGTTTATCATCAACTTCTAGATTATGCTAGTCTTTTCCACAATGGATATACCAATTTATATTTCCACAGAAGTGTATGGTATATATCTTTTATTTCTGCAATATTATTCATAATTTTTGTATTTCATCAAGCTGATAAATGTACTTTTAGTTTCTGTTCTAATTTACATTGTATTTATTATATTATAATACAACCTCCTGATCACTAAGGAGGTTGAACCTTTTTTTTCTTACATACATAACAATAGTGGAGTGCATTACATTCAGAATTATCCATTCACAGCACAGTTTTTCATAACTCTGTATATAGAGTATGTTCCCGCCAAATTATGCCATTATACATGAGCTCTCTTATTTTTTTTGCATTACAATTCTTAATACACCTTTATACCACAATTTTTTATATCTGTGTATATAAAGGTATGTTGACACAAATTCACATCTTCATACATGTATTTTATATAATGATGACTGTCTGCTTCCACTGTCCTTGCTATTCCCCTTCTCTCTCCCTTTCCCCCTACCCCTGTTCCCTATCTAGAGATAATTTTCCACTCATGCTCTCCCTCCTTAGCCCACTTTGAGTCACCCCCCTAATATCAGAGAAAACATTCGGCATTTGTTTTTTGGGGATTGGCTAACTTCATTTAGCATAATCTTCTCTAATGCTATCCATTTCCCTGCAAATGCCATGACCTTATTCTTTTTTAGTGCTGAGTAATGTTCCGTTGTGTATAAATGCCACATTTTTTAATCCATTCATCCACTGAAGGACATCTAGGTTGGCTCCAAAATTTAGCTATTGTGAATTGTGCTGCTATAAACATAGATGTGGCTGTGTCCCTGTAGTATGCTGTTTTTAGGTCCTTTGGGTATAGTCCGAGAAGAGGAATAGCTGGGTCAAATGGTGGTTCCATTCCCAGCTTTTCAAGGAATCTCCATACTGCTTTCCAAATTGGCTGCTCTTTATATACCCTAGAGATTAGAGCTCTATCTGATGTGTGAGGGGTAGAAATTTGTTCCCAGGATGTAGGCTCCCTGTTCACCTCACAGATTATTTCTTTTGCTGAGAAGAAAACTTTTTAGTTTGAATCCATCCCATTTGTTGATTCTTGGTTTTAATTGTTGCGCTATAGGCATCTTATTAAGGAAGTTGGGGCCTAGCCCCACGTGATAAAGATTAAGGCCTACTTTTTCTTCTATTAGACGCAGAGTCTCTGATTTAATTTGTAGATCCTTGATCCATTTTGAGTTAACTTTTGTGCATGGTGAGAGATAGGGATTCAGTTTCATTTTTTTCAAAAATGTATTAGCTATTTGGATTTCTTCTTTCTGAATTGTCTTTGAATCATCTAATTCTTTTGTGCAGTTTTTCTGTTTGGTTGTTTGTTTTACTGAAAATTTGTAGCAATGTGGCAAATATGTTCTCTGCTTTTAGCCTAACTCTTCCTAGATGATAATTTTGTCTACATTTAATTCCTCACTGACTTACATGGAATAATGGTTGTTACTTGAATTTTACATGTTACTTTAACTCTTGCAAACAAGTTCTCTACCTGCGTTCTGCATATTCAACTAGTAGCTGAATATAACTTTTGAGCACTTGAAATGTGGCTGGTGTGACTGAGATACTGAATTTTTATTTTCATGTAGTATTATATTTGAAAACTGATACTTTTCTGAGTTATTATCAAACCTCTGTTTGGAACAACTTGGATACATAAATTTGCTTCTCGGATGAAAATTTTATAAAAATATGGGTCAAATACTTTTATTATGACAATTTAGCATATGAAATTATGGTGTTCTGTACATTTAAAATGAACAGGTGATTTGGAAAACAGTATGAAAACAATGTTTATACCTCAACTTTTTGTTATGATTCTATGTTAAAATTATGATCAGTATTACCTTGTTTTGCTTTTTTAAATGTTGGTACTAGAAAATTTTCTATTATTTATATGATTGATATTGTATTTCTTTTGTATAGCAGTGCTCTCAACCATCTATGTTGAATTATATAT